AAGCCATCCCATTTTTGGTTTATTCTTGTCAGAGTGGCACTAGGTAACCAGAACATGGTCAATAGTTGTAAGGTAGAAATTTTTGGCCTGGGTTTGTCAGCACTTAACAGTTAGTTTTAGATGAGAATCTTGCTTTTTGCATGCAGTCACTATTACACACTGCAGCTGTTTTAAGGTATACACACCAAAGATGTTTGTGGGACAAATTTGACTCTTGGACGGTCAGTCTGCAAACTCGGGTGCATATCATGTGCTGTGTGTTTTCAGGCGTTTGATGAGAAGTAGACGGAAATGATCAGTTATGCTCTGTGCTGAGTGTCAGGAGCTGCTACGTTGTGCCGCTGTCTGCATTCTTAAACACCTCTCAAATCTGACCAATTCTTTCCATCTCTCCAAGCACCACCACCCTCTCCCAGGCTTGAGAGTGCAGTCAGGAGCACAGCTAATTGACGGAAGGAGGGACAAGGGGATGTTGTAGGAGCTAGATGGGTTTTGACAGCTGGAGCCAGGAGTCTAAAGGGTTTGGAGTAGAAAGGTGCTCCACATGAGTGGAGCAGTATTTTACAGAAGATACTGTGGCAGTTGCCAGCTGGATTTTACCTCAAAGAGATGGAGGTCGGGATACCAGATATTATCCCTGGTGTTGCAAGGAATCAGTCGGCAGAGCGAAAGAAAGAAAAGCAAAGCTGGGACCGAGAAAGGAGGTGGAGCGTATAGGTCTTGACAGTGATTCAAGAGGCGAAGGAAGGTGGATGAAGGCCAAGGTAGTTTGTTTCGAGAAAAGGCCTAACAACGGGCCAAATCCAGCCAGCAGACTATGTTGCTCTCAGAGTTTAAAGAAATTTTGAATTTGTCATCACAATAAAATCGTGAGAGCTCACATAAAAACAAGTTTGGTTACATGGGGACCATATTTCCAAGGGCTAGTCTTCAGCTACTGACCCATTAAAGAAAGTAGGCTCTCACCAGCTCACCCCAGTCTCAACTGAGCCCACTTCCCTCTTGTGGTGTCTGTCCATGTTTGGCTTCGTGACCTCTGGAAGCCTGCCAGCATGGTTAACACGGTAGGGAAGGAGGAAGAGCTCACAGTGTCAGGAAGGGGCGGATGGATGAAGCATCTGAGATCAGCTCTGGCCACTTGCACTTGGAGTGCCAGGTGGAGGTGGGTTGAAACTTGGGGCGTGCAAGCCTGGTGACAGACATGAAACTTTACTACAGATTAGTGAGTAAGCTCAAGTAAGCCTGTGCTTACGTTGCTTACTGGGTACTCTGTCCCTGTCCAGGACAGTATATTTGAAAAGAGGCTTTGATTCTGTAGGAAGGTTCTGTGGAGTTGGGAGAGAGACGCCCTCCATACCTAGAAGCAGAATTTTTGATGTGAGAAAATGTGACATTGTTCACTACGGATTAGTAAGTAAGCCCAAATAAGCCCATGCTTACCTTGCTCATTAAGTAATCCAGCACTGCTGGGGAGATATGTTTCAAACCACCCTCACCCTACAGCCAAAACCAAAGAAACCAAACCCACTGCCAGCCAGTGGATTCTGACTCACAGGGCCCCAGAGGACAGAGTAGAAATGCCCCATGCAGTTTCCATGGTTATCAATCTTATGGAAACAGACTGCCTCATCTTTTTCCCTCAGAGTGACTGGTGAGTTCGAACCACTGACCTTTTGTTAGCAGCTGAATGCTTTAACTGCTGCAACACCAGCACTTCTCACCCTAGAGCAGTGCTTCTTAACCTTTAAGGTAGACAAGAATCACCTGTGGATTTTATTAAACTGCAGATTTGGCATGGGTGTCACCTAGAACTCGTTAGAAATGCAAAGTTTGTCACAGGACTAAACCCTGACAAATACAAGTCCCCCATCAGGTAATGGCTGA